TGACTAACAACCAGTGGGTAGTTCAAAGGATCCGTTGCCGGCTTCTGACCTCCTCTGGCATTGCACAACATGGGTGCTCTCACATACATGCGGGCAATACACTCATACACATAAAACAAAAATAATAAAATATTGAAGAAAAAAAAAGAAGACAATGGAGAAGAAAAGGAGTTGGAGAGATGCTCAGTGGTCAAGAGCACTGGCTGCTTTTGCAAAGGATCCTGGCTCAGTTCCCAGCACCCACATGTCAGCTAACAACCATCTGTAACTCTAGCTCCAGGGGATCCAACCCCTCTTCTGGCCTCCATGGACATTGCAGGACACAGGTGCAGTTTTACTAAGGCAATGCACTCAAACATAAAATAAATAAATAAATAAATAAATAAATAAATAAATAAATAAATATCTAAAAATTAAAGCTAAAATAAAGAATAAAGAGTGAAAAGGTGCTGAGGAGGTAGGGGTGGTAGGGTGTGGGGAACAGGGATGGGGCAAAGACTGCTTTGGGCAGGGTTGGTTTGCAGTCAGAGGAAGTGTGTGCCGTAGCCCTGCACCGTGTCACAATCTTCCACCCCGCTGAGGGTTTTCTTTTTTTTTTCTTGGTCTTTTTGAGACAGGCTCTCCCTGAAGCCCCAGCTGGCCTTGAACTCAGAGATCCATCTGCCTCTGCCTCTCAAGTGCTGGGACTACAGGCGTGCGCCACCACACCTGGCTTCTCTTTTTTAAAAAATACAGAATCTTGTATAGATCAGGCTAACCTTCATCTCACTATATAGCTAAGGATGATCATCAGTTCCTTTTCCTCTTGCCTCAACCTCCCTAGTGCTGGGATTACAGATGTGGGTCCTGGCATCCTGAGGGTCTCTGAAGCCATTCTGAACCCCCTCCCCTGTTGTGCCTTTTCCACAGCTAGCAGAAGCCCTGGACCTGTTTGAGAGGCAGATGCTGAAGGAGGAGCGCCTGCAGCCCCTTGAGTACAACTACACAGTGCTGATCGGGGGCTGTGGGCGGGTGGGCTACCTGAAGAAGGCCTTCCAGCTCTACAATGATGTGAGTGTGGGCAGGGCTACAGAGCCAAGGCTTTGAAGTGCATGCTGGGTGCAGATCCTGTGTATGCCACTTGCTAACGCATTACTCTGGGTGATGATGTAAACTTTCTGACTTCAGGATCCAGATTGAATTGATCTTGGATTGAATGGGGTGACATAGAGACATGCTTCAGCTTCTGCCTGGGCTGCTTCAAGCCCACATGTCCCCTTTTCCTGCTGCCATGCCCAGTTAATCTACATTCCTTTCCATACACCCCAATAGCATATACACACATGTACCTTGCTTGCATATTCTTGAGACCTACTATTTTATTTTATTTTTGAGCCGGGGTCTCACTATGTAGCGCTGGCTGGCCTCAAACTGGCTATGTAGATCAGGCTGACCTGGAACTCACAGAGATCTGCCTGTTTCCCAAGTGCTGGGATTAAAGGTGTGTGCCACCACACCTGTCTGCTTCCATATTCTTCATGAATCAAGGAGCCTTGCCCAGAACAACTGTAGACTCTACTTAGAGAAAGCACATCTTCTGGAGCTGAGAGCTAAGGGAGTCCTTTATTTCAGCAGAGGCTCTTGAACTCACTATGTAGACCAGGCTGGCCTGAGATCTGCCTGCCTCTGCCTCCTGAGTGCTGGGATTAAAGGCATGCGCCTCCATGCCTGGCCAGTCCTCTCCTTTTTGGCACACTCCACCCTAGCCCTTTTGATCTGTCACCCCAGCAGGTGGGGGACACTGCACTTCTAAGTGACTATCATTATGGGTATAGGAACCACCGTTCTGAATGATGGTCTCATTCTTGCTGTCCCAAGGAGAGCTCACTGGCTTACAACCCCTCACTTGGTGATCACTGATCTCCCTTTCCCAGAAGAAACCCACTCTGTGGTCCTTGCTAGTGAGGATGACCTGGTCAGACCTGAGGATGGGGCCATCACAAGTGCCTAGCGAGAATGGTTTCTTGGCACTTCCAGGGATACAGGCTCCATTTTCAGAGTCCCCCTGGTGGAGTTGGCTTTGGATGCTGGATGTAAGGTGTCATTTGGCTCCTGGGCTAGTTGGATATGGTAATGGAGACCTCTCTTGAGTCTTCTGGGATGACTGATCCCAGAGTCACCTCCAAGTGTTTTCATCTCAATAGATGAAGAAGAGAGACCTGGAGCCCTCAGATGCCACATACACAGCCCTGTTCAACGTCTGTGCTGAGTCCCCCTGGAAGGACTCCGCTCTACAGAGTGCCCTGAAGCTCCGACAGCAACTCCGGGCCAAAAACTTCCAGCTCAACCTGAAAACATACCATGCCCTGTTGAAGGTGGCTGCCAAGTGTGCAGACCTCAAGATGTGCCTTGATGTGTTCAAGGTGGGGACTCCTCCTTTCTGCTCCCATGCCCACCCATGGGGCAGATGTGAGGGTGAGACTGTATCTCTTCACATGGAATGTTCATGAAAGTTGAACATCAAATGACACTTGATGCTGGTATCCACACGTGAATCCTACCATATTCTGCTTTGCGAGGCCTAGGTCAGGCAGCAGTAGGCTGTGGATAGGAGAGCCACAAGATGGTAGTGCTAGGCAAGGAGTCCTTGTGCTGAGTGGAAAGACAGATGTGGGGCTCAAGGAGGAGCTTCTGAGGTGTGAGAAGTAGGAATATCTTCAGGAGGCCTTGCCCAGCCTTGACACTAGAGAGGCTGGTGTGAATTGTATTCACCTGTGCAGTACCACCTGCTTGAAGAATTGTTTCAGATAGCCTAGAAAGTATGTCCTCCCACAGATGAGGAAGCTGAGGCTGGGAAGTTGAGGGTCTTGCCCTCACTCACACCCATAGCTGGCCAGTGGTGGAGTTAAGTCTTGAAGCCAGCTCTGCAATTCCAGATCCTGGAGTCTAGGGGCCCTTGGAGTGGTGTTTGCACAAGTGCTGCGGACCCTGGGAGCAGAGCTGAGGGGAGAGGCCTGGAGACAGTAGAGACACAGTCAGTGCTTGGCTCTGGCTCTGAGCTGGTTGCAGCACCACATTTAGGCACCTAGTCCCTCCAGATGGGAAGGTGTTATCCTGAGCTAGGTAAGATACCTAACCTGGTATCTTATCGTAGGCTCTGAGTGGGGCTGTTTTCTTCCCTTCCCTAGGAAATCATCCACAAGGGCCATGTGGTCACAGAAGAGACCTTCAGTGTCCTGCTCATGGGTTGTATCCAGGACAAGAAGATAGGCTTCCGGCATGCCCTGCAGGTCAGCCCCAAGCACCTTCCTGCCCTCCCTGTGCACCTGCCATGGGTGTAAAACCAAGATCCTGTGTACTTCCTGCTACCCAGTGTTTTTGTTATCTGTATGTGGGCTGGAGAGATGGCTCAGTGGTTAAGAGCACTGGCTGCTCTTGCAAAGGACCTGGATTGGGTTCCCAGCGTCCACACGGCAGCTCACAACTACATGTAATTTCAGTTCCAGAGAATCCAATGCTCTCTTCTCATCTCTGTGCATTGTATGCACATGATGCATTTGCATACATGCACGTGAAGCGCTCATAAAATAAATCAATTTACAGGTTAATTATGTGTATGTGCATTGAGTATAGTGCCCACTGAGGCCAGAAGAGGACATCAGATCCTCTGGACCTGAAATTACATGCAGTTGTGAGCTGCCCAGCTTGGGAGCTAGGAGCCAAATTTGCGTCCTCTGCAAGAGCAGTATGCACTCTTAACCTCTGAGCCATTTCCAACCCATTCTGCTAGATGTTTTTCTATTTGCCATTGTTTGCCCTTCCCAGCAGTCAATGGAGGGCACACTGTTCTCCATTTGTAGATGGCAAGGAGAGGAGGCCTGTAGAGATGTTGCCCAGCTAAGGAAGGCACAGCCAGCCCACACCTCTCCTGCTCTGCTGTGTGCCACTCAGACACTGCAGTACACTCACTGGGGTGCATGTTCCCACCCCACAGCCCGCCTCTGTACTTGGCACCTCTATAGGTGCAACTGGGAATTTACACTTAGTCCTAATGTCATACACACACTCTCATCCCACCTCAGATTCCCAGATGTCATCTTCGTTATGTGGGGAGTGGATGCTGTCATTATGTCATACCTGCTTCTGTTGCTTGCCCTTTGAGCTCTGCAACCTAAAGTGTGAGCCACAGCTTAGTGCAGCCCTATCCAGACCTGCCCTGGGTCTAGAAGCTTCCTGGCCACTTTTCACAGTGACAGCCTAGGACCACATGGTTGTGTTCTTTCTCCAGAGACCCTGGGAGCCATGGCATTACAGTCAAAACACAGCCCAGATGCAATTTCTCCCACTCTTTGCCTATGCATAGTCTCGTTAGTAACCTATTAATACTAATGGGCCTTTTGGCATTGCATATTTCCTGAACTGCTTCTTTAAGGCAATGTCAGCCTCCTTTTGCAGGTGAGGGAACGGAGGCTCACGGAGATTAGTAGCTTACCTAAGGTCCCATAGACACTAAGGTTGGGGAGATGGCTTAGCAGGTGAAAGCAATTGCTATATAATCATGAGAACCTGAGTTTAAATCCCAGAACCCATGTAAAAATTTGGACATGGCTCTGAATGCCTGTAACCCTATCCCCGTGAGTCTTTTCTTTGATGACACAGGTTATCAGATACTGCTCCAGTCCCAAGTTAAACATAGGCTCCCACCCATATCCAGACCCAGGTATAATTGGAGCTGTGTTTGTTCATCATACTCTGAATATACTGAATATGGAAACTAGAAGGTGGAGGCACACAGGGCTTACAACTTGTGAGGGGTGCAGTGCTTTGCAGCAGCCTGCCTTATCATAGTACTGCACTCTGCTGGCTTCCTCTCTGGCTCCATCTTGCCATGTACTGCCCTTGCAAAGACACTTGAATGTCTAAGACTCGACCCAACAGAACCTGGGTCTGGGAATGCAGCAGGCACTTATGCTACTGAATCCTAAATGAGTCTAGAAGTGATGGAGAGATGGCTCAGAGGTTAAGAGCCCTGGCTGCTCATGCAGGGGGACCAAGTTTGATTCTCATCATACATGTCAGTTAGACCACAGTCTAACTTCAGGTCCAAGAGATCTGATACCATCTTCTGGTCTCTGGGCACCTGCACACAGATACACATATACAGACACATGCATGCACACATGCACGCACCCATACATTTAAAAAGAAAAAAATCCTTTTACGTCTGGTGTGGTGGCCCATGCCATTAATCCCAGCACTTGGGAGACAGAGGCAGGTGAATCTCTATGAGTTCAAGGCCAACCTTGTCTACATAGTGAGTTCCAGGCCAGCTGGGGCTACAGGGGGACCCTGTCTCAAAACAAAAGTAAAAGTAAAAATTAAAAAAAAGATGATCCTAGAATCTTTTAGAAGCTAGCCTGCCTGGCTGTCCTTCCCTTAGGAAAACATGGGTTGATGATCTGGTGAAGGAGTAGGTAGATGGGACCATGAGAAAAATTGGGATGAGGCTTGCTGGTTCTTCTGAGGCCTCCTAGAAAGTTTCAAAATTCTAAAATTCTGACAGCTCTTGTTTTTTGTCCTAGTGTTAGGTTAGATCAAACATGTTCTAGATTTTTCTCATGCTTAATTTTTTTTTTTTTTTTTTTGGTCTTTTTGAGATGGTATCTCCATAGCCCCAGCTGGCCTGGAACTCACTATGTAGACCAGACTGGCCTTGAACTCATAAAGATCTGCCAGCCTCTGCCTCCTGAGTGCTGGGATTAAAGGCGTGTGCCACCATGCCTGGTACTCATTGATCATTAATTGATTATATGTCTGTGGGCACTCATACTACAGCATGTATGTGGAGGTCAGGGGATAACTTGCTAGAGTTGGTTCTCTCTTTCCACCAGGTAGGTTCCAGGAATTGAACTCAAGTAGTCTAGCTTTGTGGCAAGTGCTGTTACCCACTCAGCCATCTCACTGGCCCCCTTTTTATATTTATTGTTAAATTTTATATATTTATATATTATGTGCATGATTGTTTTGCCTGCATGTAAGTGCGTCACATATGTGCAGTGCCTATGGAGGCCAGAAGTGGCTGTCGGACCCATCGGAACTGAAGTTACAGACAGTTGTTAGTCACCACGTAAGTGGTAGACACCAAATTTGGGTCCTCTTCAAGAGCAGCCAATGCTTTTAACCACTGAGCCATCTCTCCAGCCCTCCCCACTTTTTAAAATGATGTTTCGTTACATTGCCCAAGCTAATCTTGATCTCTTGGTCTCTGTGACTTTCCTACCTCAGTCTCCTGCTCATGAGTGTTGGGGTTTAGGACTATAAGCCGGCATCACTGTGCCTCATTATTTTTGTGTATCTATGCCAGGGATTGAACCCAGGGCCTTTGCGTATGTGAGGCAAGTATCCTACACCTGAGTCATATTCCCATCAGCTTTGTCCCCTCTTTTTGTGGTGCAGGTCCTCACACATGCTGGTCAGCATCTCTGCCTGCCGTGTTCCTCTGCCAGCTTTCTCAGGCTTTTGAGTTTGCTGGTCTGGCAGCCAGACTCACAGTTCCCATCTCTCCTTCACCCAGTAGGAGGCAGGAACACTGAGCCATTGTTCTTTCTCTGACAGGTGTGGAGGCAGATGCTGAGTCTGGGTCTCAAACCAAGCCTCCACAGCTACAACCTGCTGCTGGCAGCAGTTCGAGACTGTGGCCTGGGGGACCTGGAGGTGGCTTCTAGGATGCTCCTGAGGCCCCAGGAAGAGACCATCCTGCTCCAGCCACCAGCAGGCAGGCATCGGGCAGGGAGGAAAGGCCAGGCCAAGGCAGGTGATGGCATGTCAGCCAGACTGCATGTGGAGACCCTGGAGAGGCAACTGTTTCTGGAAACTTCTCAGGCATTTGAAGGGTCTCTAAAGCCTTGCAAGGCTGGGGTACCTAGTAGGACCCAGCCTGTGGTAGAAACCAAGGCAGAGTCGGATCCCACAGCTGCCCTTGCCCCACTGACCCTGAAGCCATCTGCCTTGGAAAGGAAGGTCAACCTCCTGAGTCTAGGGGCTCTCTCTTCCACTGTGGTTTCCTTTGGGACAGTGGCCACCCCTGCTGATAGGCTGGCCTTGGTTGGGGGTCTGGATGGTTTCTTGGACAAGATGACAGAACATGGGCTCCAGCCAGACATCAGAACTCTCACTCTGCTGGCTGAGGTGGTAGAGCCTGGGAGCCTGGCAGAGTCTTCTCTGCTGACCATTCTGGACAAGCACCAGGTAGAGGCTGACGTGACATTCTTCAACACGCTGATAAGGAAGAAGAGCAAGCTGGGTGACCTGGAGGGGGCAAAGGTAAGGGCTTTTCTGTTGAGCACCCTCCTCCCCTTCTCTCTCTCTGACCCTCAGCTTATAGAACATGGTGTCTGGAGCTCTGTTCTAGGCCTGGCCTTGGATAGAATGGGAATTGAGTTGCAAATGAGCCAGATGCACCTCAGCCTTGCCCCCACACCCCAGAATGTGTGTGTGTGTGTGTGTGTGAAAAGGGCATTGGAGAAGGGACATGCTAGGGTGCTGGGTCCTGAGACCAAATATGTCATTACATGGATGAAGGGAACAGAAGATGGGCAGGTGCTTCAAGAACAAGGCTTTGGGGTTGTTCAGCTAGAGCTATGAGGGCCTGGGGATGTAGCTCAGCTGGTGGGGCCTTGCCTAGCACACAGGAGGCCCTGGGTTCCATCCCAAGTACAGTATAAACCAGGCATGGTTGTGCACATCTGCAGTCTCAGCACTCTGACTGGAGGCTGGAGGCTCAGCAGTGCAAGGTCACCCTTGGCTACACTGAGAATTCCAGGCCAGCCTGATCTATTTGACACCCTGTGCCCTGGCTACCCCCACACCTCCTCCCCCCTCCAAAAAAAAGAACCACAATGAGTTACCTTGGGATGGCTCTAGTGACACCTTGAGTATCCTTACTCTCTCCTCACCTGTTCCTGACACTGCACTTGTCCTGTGCTGGGGTCCATTCACTTCTTTCCTCATCCGACCAGGAGACATTGCCTCTGTGTGGCTTCCCATTTCACAGAGGTGATAGCAGGACTCTGGACAGGTTTGTGTCTTTGTTTATACAACCAGTTTTTTTTTTTTTTTTTTTTTTTTTTTTGTTGGGGTGGGGGGGTGTTTTTTTTTTTGTTTTTTTTTTTTTTTTTTTTTTTTTTGTGTGTGTGTGTGTGTGTGTGTGTATGACTTGTTATGCCAGAAGCACTGCCCTGGGCACCTATGAGGGTCAAAGGTGACAGACATGGCAGAGCATACCTTCATCTTGACAAGCTAAATGTGGCAGAGCCCTTCCTCAGGGCCCAGCCAGGCTGAGGAGGCACCCTCATCCTCACACTAGTCCTGGAGCTCCCTCAGCCAGCACTTACGCATTGGTCAGCGCTGCCTCCTGCTGTGTTCCGGGAGCTCCTGGTGCTTGGCCCAGTGCAGGGCTGAGCAGCTGAGGAGCCTAAGACGGAGGCTAAGGAGGGGTGTTAGATATGAAGGACATCTGTGGAGAAGGGGCATGGGACCGTGAGTGTTGAGCTCAGATGGGGGTGCAATATGGTTAGAAGAGGTATCCAAGAGGCCTCTGAGCAGAGTTGGGTCACTGGATCTCCAGCATCCAGACAAGGGATTCACCAGGACACCGGATCAGGACTTGTAAGTCACAAACTACAGTGACATGTCTGTCCTACAGGTGCTGTTGCCCATTCTAGCAAAGAAGGGATTGATCCCCAACCTGAGGACTTTCTGTAACCTGGCCATTGGGTGCCACAGGCCCCGGGATGGTATGCAGCTGCTTGAAGACATGAAGGTGAGGGGTCCAGGCCCATGCAGGATGCCCACGGTGCTCAGGAGCACCCAGGAAGAAAGCTCTGGGGAAAATGGGCCCAAAAGGATCAACCCAGGACAAAGCAGGGCTGAGGGAACATGAAGGAGGCCAAGTGGGCTGATGTGGAGTGGCCTTCTGTCCCCTCTAGGAATAAGCCAACTTGTACAACACTGTGGGACCCAGCACAGAGATCAGAGGGTGTTCCTCTCTTGAAGGTGATTGTGGGGTCCAGTGGAGGAGTGAGACTGACCCTGGGCCCCAACACCCTGGACAGATGGAGAGATGGGCCAGAGCTCTGAGAGACAAAGCGCAGTTTCTGCAGCTCTGACCAGCTCTTGATGTGCATCCTGCTGCCCCCCACTGAGTCTTTACTAAGTGGATTTCATCCAACCCTGCAGTGGGTACTCTTGGACCTAGTTGTGTTCTCACATCGTGTCACCCAACTAATGCTGGATGTTCTAGGCTGACCGTCAGTGTCTGGTGATGACATTGTGACCTCATTCCTGTGGAGCCAGGAGTGAGGAGGTACCTCCTGCCTCATTTTCTGCCCGTCAGTTGATTTGCAGGCAGCAGAGTCTTCCCAGGTTCTTCAGGGCTGAGGGGGTTGACATACGTGCTTTCCTTCTGGAGGGGGTTGGGCAGCCAGTTCTTGTCCCTGGTGCCCAGTCTGTGGACCAGACCTGTCTGACAGGGCAACTTCCTAAGCTGGACCTGGAACAGTGGGTAGCTCTGTCTTAACAACTGCTGTAATACTACTGTGATGTCTGTGATGTTCTAGAAATCCCAGATGACCCCTAATACCCACATCTATAGTACCCTCATCAACACGGCCCTCAAGAAGCTGGACTATGCCTATCTCATTGACATCTTGAAGGACATGAGGCAGAATAGAGTCCCAGTGAATGAAGTGGTCATCCGTCAGCTGGAGTTTGCCGCTGAGTACCCACCCACCTTTGACCGGGTATGTGCACCAAGCTTTACAGTGCTCAACATCTCCTTGGCTACTGCTGTCTCTGAAGCTGGCCTTCAGGGCTTGGCATTCACTCCATTGCTGAAAAATTGTCCAGTAGCTTTCCTTAGGAGAAACCCCACAGCTCTGAATCATAGCCAGCAAGTCCTTGTCCACAGGGCTCATTTTACTTCAGGCTAGTTTGTGTTTGTCAGTCCCACAGGCCTCTTTCCAAATATTTTGTGTTCTTTTGTGTCTTGGATAAACCCTCCTATGCTCCGTCTCCTCCTGTAGGTCTCTTAAGCAGTCTTTCTGTTGTTTCTGTTTTTTTTTTTTTTTTTTTTTGAGCTAGGATCTCCTGGTCTAGTCCTGGATGGCCTGGAACTCATATGTAGACCAGGCTGGCCTCAAACTCGAAGATCCTCCTATCTCTGCCTCCCAAGTACTGGGATTAAAGGTGTCCACCACCATGCCTTCTTTCTTTTTTAGTTATGTGTATGTGTGTGGGTCTGTCCACATGTAAATACAGATGCCCATGGAGTCCAAAAGGCATTTGATCCCTAGGACCTGGAGTTACAGGCAGCTGTGAGCTGCCCAACATGGATGTTGGAACTGAACTCAGGTCCTCTGGAAGAGCAGGGTGTGTGGTTAACTGCTGAGCCATCTTTCTAAAATTTTAATTAACTGTAGCTCTAGCTGGCCTAGAACTTGCTATGTAGACTAGGCTGGCCTCCATTTCACAGAAGTCTGCCTGCCTGAGTGCTAGAATTAAAGGTGTTCACCCCCATGCCCAGCTTGACCCACTAAATCTTGACTTAGTCCACAGCAGTGAATCTTATATTCCCCTGTCCACTGTTGTCTTGAGGGAATAGCTGGGGCCAGCTTCGCAAGGTGTGAGCCAGCTGGTGATTTGCAGTTAGTTAGCTATAGGTGACGTAGTTTCTGACTGGCAGAGAATACTTGCGAGCCCCATGCTTTTCTTGGTGTATTACATAGTCATTCTACAAAGTAAGGAGCTTCATTATGAACTTGTTCCAGTGTATCATGTACCTTGACCATAATCCTGTACTTTTCTAACCACAGTATAAAGGGAAGAACACCTACATGGAGAAGATTGATGGCTTCCGAGCTTACTACAAGCAGTGGCTGAAAGTGATGCCAGCAGAAGAGGCCCCCCACCCCTGGGAGCAGTTCCGGACCAAACCGAAGGAGGACCAAGACAACCCTGGGGATGCTGGTGTAGATGGAGGCCTTGGGGGCAGGTGATGGACCACACTGCTAGGACAAGTGTCCAGTCTCCACAGCAGTATGGAGCCTAGGAGTCCCCTCCATGTTAATGAGTGACTGTGCCAGCGTCCTTTCCAGGGTAGGCGCCGCAGCATTTTGCAGGCATGGATATAGGGCAAACACTGGGCCTAGAATAGGTCAAGTCACCTTCATACACACAATGTCAGGTCCCCTTTGCCTGCAAGGGCATCCCTACCGCTGGTGAGAAAAGTGTACTTGTTCGTGGCCACACAGCATGTATGAAGTGGAGCCAGGGCTGCTCAGGACCTGGACCCTCCCCTGGGTTCTACAACCTGCTCCTCTGAAAGAATAACCACAAGCCAAGAGGTTTAAAGGTTTTATTTTTACAAATCACAGCTGATGAACACAAAGCCTTCACCTATAGAGACCACATTCCGACTGGGTCCCAGGTACTACTTTCAGAAGAGCTGCTCCACAAGGAGCTGGCAGATAAGCAGGAACCCACAAGGTGCAAAGTCCAGGATGGAAAGGATGGAGAGGAGGCAGGGGCCTCAACCAGAGCAGCCTCGGCAGCCACAGTGCGTACACTCGATGATGCGGCCCTGTAACAGGACACAGACTTCTGTCAATACCACCACAACCCCTGTACTGTCCCACGGGAACCCACTGATCAGACTCCTGGCTGGACACTGCCTGTACGACATGGGTTAGAAACTCCAGGTGGGGATTTATGGAAGTAAGTGGCAACTGTGAAGTTACACTCTGTGTGTAATAGTCTATCCACCTTCAACAGGTATACCTGCCAGAAAGAAACCCTTGTAAACGCATCTTGTTTTCCTGGTGGGTCTGCTACTGAGTAGGGGGAGATTGATGATGTCAGGGTTCTTGGGGCCCTTGGGGCAGAAGATGTGCACTTGAGTTCCTGTGACAGGACAGTTTTGTCCCATAGGCACAGTGGCTTGCCGGGGGGACTGTCCAGCAGACCCAAGGCCCTAGAGCAATGCCAATAAAATCCTCCAGTGAAGCTCAGCTAAATCTCTTTGGTTTTTTTTGATAGGGTCTCAAGTAGCCCAGGATGGCCTTCAGCTCCCTGTGTAGTCCAGGATGGACTTGAACTTCCAATCGGTCTGTTCCCACCTCCTAAGTGCTGGGATTATAGATGTGCACTACTACACACAGTTTTTATGAGGTCTGGAGATGGAACTCATGGCTTCATGCATGCCAGACAGGTGCTCTATCAACCTAACTACATCCCCAGCCCTGACCCCCGCCATGGCAGTTTCTGCCACTCCATCACCTGGTTCTCTGACTCATCAAACACACACCCTGAGCCTCCCCTTGGGAAGCAGCCCTTGTTCATCTGTTTAGCACACCCATACCAGAGCTTTATGGGGCACAGGGGACAAGCTGCCTGCTGAGTGGAAAGCCTCAGCTCAGCAAAAGCTCCAGTGCACTCCAGTCCTGCTGCAGTGTAAAGGCTCCACTGAATGCATGAAGTTAGGAAACAAAAGGCCAAGCTGAGAGGATGAGCTGTCAGGGCTGTGTGGAGCTCAACTGCCACCTAATGTGGCTACTCCCAGGTGCCTGGCCTAGCTTTGAAATGGATTTTTTTCTTGAGACAGGCTCTCATACTACAGCTCAGGCTGGACTGGAACTCATTCATTACATAGCACAGGCTGGCCTCAAGCTCATAGCAATCTTTCTGTCTCAGTCTCCCAGCTGCTGGGATTAAAGGCATGAGCCTCCACTCCCAGCTGTGGAACAAAGTTCTAACAGAAGACACAGAGTGATGGTGAGATGGCTCGGTTCCCACATGGCAGCTAATAACTTTCTATACTCCATCTCCAGGGGAACTGATGCCCTCTTTTGGCCTTCACAGGCATTATATGCATATGGTGTAGCACTTACATACATGCAAGCAAAACACTCATACACCTAAAACAAATTTTTTTAAATGTCACTGTGGTATGGTGGCACACATCTTTAATCCCAGCACTTGGGAGGCAGAGACAGGTGAATTTCTGGAAGTTCAAGAGGCCAGCCTGGTATATATAGTGAGACCCTGTAAAAAGTCAGAGTAACTGGATGGAAAGGGTCGGGATGCCTGCTGACTGGCTACCCTGCCCCCATGTAGCCCTCCCACCAACTTGGTGCTGTTGCCACCACTATCACTTCATAGGTAAGGAAGGGGTTCAGGTGCCCAAATCACAGAATGACCACCAACCCTACCTAGCAAGGATCTCTGAACAGGATTCCTGGGAGGGATGGCAACAGGTCTCCAGTGATAAAAATTACATCCCAGCCAAAATGGTAAGACCTTTGGAGTCATCTAAGGCAGAGCTTTAACCGGAAATAGCATCCCACCCAGCAACCCAGCATTACCACTTCCAGCTTGCTTTTGGGAACCCGGCAAATGCAGTTGGTCCCGAAGTTGGTGTCCCGTGTTTGGATGCAGCGCAGGCAGCACAGGTTCTCATAGCCCTGCTTTTTCCACTTTGCAATCAGGTTTTTGTCTGCATAGCCTTCTTTAATGCAGTATTCATAGAGTTCTGTCAAAAGGGTAGGATGGGGTATCAGAACATGGTGCAACAAACCTGCCCTCATCCTTGACTAAAAAGAAGTAACAGGGCCCGAGAGATGGTTCAGTGGTTAAAAGCACTGGTTGCTTTTGTGGAGGACCCAGAGTCAGTTCCCAGCACCCACATGGCGGCTCAAATCTCAGTAACTTCAGTTCCAGGGAATGTGATGCCTATTCTGATTTCTGTGGGCATTGCAAACACATGGTGCAGTTACATGCAGGCAAAACAAACGCATAAAATAAATTTTTTTTTTGGTCTTTTTGAGACAGGGTATCCCTGTAGCCCCAGCTGTTCTGGAACTCACTAGATAGACCAGGCTGGCCTTGAACTCACAGAGATCCGCCTGCCTCTGCCTCCCCAGTGCTGGGATTAAAGGCGTGCACCACCATGCCCAGCCCTGCATAAAATAAATTTTAAAAAAGAAATAGTTAAAAAAAGGTCTAGGAATTTAGCCAATTACACTTACCTCTGCTTATGGCTTTCCGCTTGTAAAAGAGGTCAAAGATGTAGCGGGTTTTCTGGTGATGGATCCTGAAGATGGGCCACAGGGATTCCACTTTCCTCTTTCCTTCGTGAGGTTCTGTTTCAGCTGGGGAGAAGAAACAATGTGTTTTGGTTAAGTGGAGTCAGGTTGCACAGGGTGGACGGTTTTTGTGTTCCCTAATAACTACAGGTACTACTATATACCCATGAGGAGGGTTGTAATGGAAATGATGGACAATAACAAGTATGGGCAAGAAACTGGAACCCTCCAACTCTTCTAGTAGAATGTGAAACAGTGCAGAAAAAATCTGGCAAGTCCTCAAGAAGTTAAACAGTTATCTAATGGGTGGTATTGGGGAGTGAATCAATAACTAATAACCACATTATCAAGAGAAATGAAAATATATGACCAGATATAGTTTAATTTTTTTAAATGTGTATGAGTGTTGTCTGCATGTAAGTGCACCATGTGTATGGAATGCCCAGAGGCCAGAAGAGGGCATTGGATCCCCTGAAACTGGATTGAGGTATGGTGGATAGCCACCATGGGGGTGCTGGGAATGGAACCTGGGTCCTCTGCAAGAGCAGCCAGTGCTCTTAACCACCGAGCCACCTCTCCAGCCCTCCACAGATAGTATTTTTAAGAGTATTGTTATTATTTTAGCTTTTGGAGTTTCTCATGTAGTCAGGCCAGTCTTGAACTCCTGATCCTCCTCCATCCGTCTCCTAAATGCTGGGATTCAGGCGTTTGCTAACACAACCGGCTTCATGCATAATGCGTAATTTTTCCAAGTAATGGGATACTACTTAAACGTAAAAAGAATGAAGTACCAATAACATGCAATAACACGGACAAACCCAGAAATGTTCATGATGGTGGTCACCTAGAACTCAGGGATCTGGATACAGTAAGCACTCCCTAGGTGAACTGTAGTCAGGCCTGATAGCACCTGTAATCCCAGGCACTTCAGCGGTTAAGGCAGGAAGATCAGAAGCACAAGGGATGCCTGGCCTCAAATTGAGTTCAAAGCTAGCCTGAACAATTAGACCCTGCCTCAAAAAGTAAAAGCCAGTTGACTACATACACCTATAATCCCAGCACTCCAGAGGCCAAGCAGGGATATCACTGTAACTCTAAAGCAGCCAGTCAGTGATTTGGGCTACATAGTAAGACGCTGTCTCAAAAATAAAATTTAAAAAGCCTGGGTATGTAGCTTAGTGATATGGTGCTTGACTTGCATGTGTAAAGCCCTGGGTTCAATCCCCAATACCACATATTACTATAGTATATGCTTTATATCTTTTGGGGGGGAGGTCTTTTTGAGACGGGGTCTCCCTATAGCCCCAGCTAGACTGGAACTGGCTATGTAGACCAGGCTGGCCTTGAACTCAGATCCTCCAGCCTCTGCCTCCCAAGTGCTGAGATTAAAGGTGTGTGCTACTGCGCCTGGCTTTGTATCTCTTTTTTTTTTTTTTTTTTTTTTGAGACAGGGTCTCCCTGTAGCCCCAGCTGTCCTGGAACTCACTATGTAGACCAGGCTGGCCTTGAACTCACAGAGATCTGCCTGCGTCTGCCTCCCGAGTACGCCACCATGCCTGGCTGTATCTTTTTTTTAAAAAATATTTTATTATTATTTTATGTGTATGAGTGTATTGCCTCTATGTATGTGAGTGGACCCATGTCGTACAATGCCTTGGAGGTCAGAAGAGGGCTTCGGATTCCCCTGGAACTAGAGTTAAGGATGGTTCGTAGCTGCCATGTGGGTGCTGGGAATTGAACCTGGGTCCTCTGCAAGAGCAGTCAGTACTCTTAACTGCTGAGCCATCTCTCCAGCCCTGTGGCTTTGTATCTTAATACTTTTTTTTTTTTTTTTTTTTAAAGTGTGGGGCTGAAGGGATGACTCAGTGGTCAAGAGTGCATACTATTCTTGCACAGGACCCAAGTTTGATTCCAACACCCACACCAGGCAGCTCACAACTGCCTGTAACTCCAGCTCCCAGGGGAATCTGACTCCATGGGCACCTGCACACATGTGCACATACCCACACACAGACACATAATTATAAGTGGTTTGAACGTAATCATTCTAAATTTTAAATGTCTGGGGTTTGTTTTTGTTTCTTTGGTGGGGGGCAGGGGGAGGATCTCATGTAGTCCAGGCTGATCCTGAACTCCTTATCCTCCTGCCTCTACCTACTAAATGCTAAGATTATAGGCATATCGCCTTTTTTGTATATGAGGGGGCAGCATGTGCCATGTGTGTACAAGCATGCACATGTACACATATGCATGTAGAAGCCAGAGTTTGAGGTGGGGTGTATTCCTAAATCACTTCCCACCTTTTTAAAAAACGTTTACACACACCACATTCATGTAGTGCCCATCAAAGCCACAAGACAGCGCCAGATCACTTGGAGCTGGAGTTAATGGATGATTCTAAGCAGTCATGTGGGTGCTGGAATCGGGACTTGAGTCCTCTGCAAGAGCAGCCAGTGTCCTTAACCACTGAACCATCTCTCCAACCCATTATTTATTTATTCATTCAGACATGGTCTATGTAAATCAGGTTAGCCTAGAACTCAGGGATCTGCCTGCTTCTGCCTTGAGTGTTGGGATCAAAGGTGTGTGCCACCACACACGCCTCCGCTTGCTTTTTCTCAGGTGCTGGGTATCCAAACTCCGGTCTTTATGCTTGTGTTGTAGACACTGTACTGACTGATCCATCTCCCAGCCCTTAAATGTCTTTTTTTAATTAAAGCAGAAAAAGATTTTGTTCTTCTTTTGAAACAGGGTCTCACGTAGTCCCGGTTGGCCTTGAACTCTTTATCTTCCTGTCTCATCCACCTCAGAACTACCCAGATTATACATATACACCATCACAGCTAGTGAAAATAGATACCTTCAAATCGTATCAATAGCCTCTGTCAACATATGGGTCTCTATTTCTCTACACTTATTTCAATAGCATAATCAAGATTCTTCTAAGCAGCCAGATGTGGTACATATCTGTAATCCCAGCACTCAGGAGCTTGAGCAAGACTAAATTCCTTTTGTCTTTTAAGATAGGGACTCTCACTATGTAGACCAGGCTGACCTCGAACTCAAAGATCTACCTGCCTCTGTCTCTTGAGTGCTAGGATTAAAGGTGTGTGCCATCATACCCAGCTGAAAGACTAAATTCTTAAAAACTTCATAAAATATGAGTGAGCCAGGTATGATGGCACATGCCCATACTAGCCCTTGGGAGGCAGAGGCAGATGGATCTGTCAGTTCAAGGTCTATGCTTGTAAGTTCCAGGCCAGACAAGGCTACACTTTGATACCCTTTCTCAAAGTAACAATAACAAAAACAAAAAAGTAAAAGTGAAAAAGAACAGGATTTCTAAATAACTGTTTTGTAAGGTTTTTAAAACATATCTAACTTACATAGTAAATATAAACTATATGACTTGTATACCCTAAAGTTTTCATACTTAGGTTGGGCTGAAGAGATAGCTCAACAGATAAAAATGCATGCTTGCTACACAAGCCTCTTGATCTGTGTTTGATCCCCAGAACCAACTCCTCCAAGTTGTATTTTGAATTCCACATGGACACTGGTGTCTCTCTCTCTCACCAACATATACACTAATAAAGCGTGGGGGAGGTGATCCACTTTCATTAATGTTATTTACTTAGTCAATAAGCAAACAAAACATCATTACTTTGAGACAAGTCTCTTATACTGTATTTTTGCCTACCCTTGGAGGCATGTGAGCCTGTGACCCTTTGCCCAGACCACCAGACAGGAGCATCCCCACTCACCTTCTCTCATCTTTTGATCTAATTCATCCAGGGTTGGTTCGATCAACTCCCAGCCATCTGGAGGAGCTTTCCGGCTTCTTTTGACTTTGGGCATTTCCCAGCAAGATAACTTGATCTGGGTGGAAAATAAATTACTTCCTGAGTTTCAGATTACTAAAGGCCTTCACTAGTCACAATCTTGGTACATAATTCATTTTACTTGAAGCAGCACAGAGCAGTAGTAGCTTTGGGTAGAACTCAAGCATCCAGATTGCTTGAGTTCAAATTTCAGTTTTGCTGCTCAGTACTGTTATGCTTAGAAAGTGTACCATACAATCTATTGTGTTGTTTGGGTTCAACAAGAGACTAGCTCTGGAAGCAGGACTGCTACCAACTCATTTCAGAACCCAAGCAGGTTTGTCTCAAAGTGTCCTCCAAGGCCCTTGTCTGGGGATGGAATGGCCCCCTAAACTCAATGACATGGAAGGAAGAGACCAGCAAAACAGCTCTAGGGTAAAAAAAAAAAAAAAAAAACGAAAACAAAAACAAAAAAACTGTGCCTTGAGAACAGTTGGAAAGCAAACCATTCCCAACAGTGGTTGCTATTGTTTGTCTGTGATAGAAAAGTGCCCTGGGTGGGCAAGTAAAGCCTGAAGTTCAGCCATGGGAAGCATAGGCACTGAGAAAAAGCACACTAGGAACTCCAGCTGGCTGCCTTAAAGCCACATTCCCAGTTGATTTCTGCTGGATGTGACTGCCCAATTTGATGATGTTTTGCTGTCTATCCTGCCCCTGCAGGATACTTTGGCTTGCTATATCCTTGTTTCCTCATCTGTAAAATGAAGAAACAGAATCTCCCATATGAGGTCATTGTGAAGAAGTAACCAAAAGTCAAAGTGTGAGGACAGCTCCAAGTGGTAGAGCAGGAGGATGAGAGTTTAAAGGGAAAACCACAATACCTTTGGGTCTCTTTCCTAACAGGAAAAAATCCCTGGTCTTTGCAATTGCAGGCTTGTATTCCTGTCAAGCTTCACCAGTGAGTTACTCTGTGACTCTGGAGATCACTTTTCTTCTTTGGTCCTCAGTCTCATCTATAAAACAAGAACAGAACATCATACACCCTTTTGGATCTATACAGCCCACAAAGCAGTCCAGTCCAAATCTAAACAGTAAAGCAGGTATTTTCAAGTTACATAACATTTCCTAGCTGGCAAACGGAAGCCAGGTTATCTATTAAGCATAACAACTCATCTCTGTCCAATTCCTTCAGTCCCACCCACTGTGCCTTGATGGATACTTTGCAATCCTTCTCCCCTATCAACCATAACAACTTTACAAATGAAGAAACAAACTTTAAGAGGTGGAATCCAGGTCACTCCAGTGGGAACTGACAGTCTGACTCTGATAGGGGCTCCTGACACCCCACTTCCCCAGTCACGGTCTAACTTAAGCACTGGTCTTCCCTGCACTTAAGTCAGAGATGGGTGGAATCTGATCTCTGCCCCAGGACATGCAGCCTGACCAGAGAATCACTTTCTCATGAACAAAGAAACTCCAGGGCAACGATTCAATCCGGGAGCCCGAGGGGTGGAGGCGGGGCGGGGGGACGGATGGACAGACGGGACTCACGGATGGACAGACCGGACTCCAACACTAGGAGGTGAGCCTATCAGGAGGAAAGGGGTGCTGGGCGGTATATAAACGTAGAGGACCTCGAGAAACGAGGTCAACAAGAAGAAAGTTACAGAAGACTTTTAAAGGGAACAGTATCTGAACTTAGTTTAGAAAAACAATCAGTATTACACAAAAAAAAACGGTCCCTGAAGAGAAAAGGAGGTGAAAAATAGTACAAAAAAAAATGCCTCCCAAAAGTCTACCAGTTACTGAACAAAATGATAAAGGTTCCGATTCCTCGGGGAGTCCTGCCTCGCCTGGTTCAGCAGCTCACTTCGCTCTTTGGCCGTTACCGTAGCCAAAGCCTCAGTGCTCAAGAACAGAGGCGAAAAAACACTCACCGGAAACTAAGAGAAAAGGAGGTGAAAAATAGTACAAAAAAAAATGCCTCCCAAAAGTCTACCAGTTACTGAACAAAATGATAAAGGTTCCGATTCCTCGGGGAGTCCTGCCTCGCCTGGTTCAGCAGCTCACTTCGCTCTTTGGCCGTTACCGTAGCCAAAGCCTCAGTGCTCAAGAACAGAGGAGAAAAAACACTCACCGGAAACCCAGACGCCTAGCTCCGCCGCTTCTTTATTGACGGCTTCCGCTCGTATGGGAAACTCTTCAGAATAAAGCCCCCGCGGAGCTCCGCCCACTTCGAGTAGCGAGTGCGTCATCTTAGCTGTCTTCCACGCTGCCTGTGTAGAATTCCGGAAGCCCTGTGGTCCTTTTCCCCTCACTTCCTGTGAGGGGTGACCAGCACGGGCTACGCATCTCCTCAGACGGGGGACACCGAGGGAGTGCTTGTTGCCTGGTAGCGCCGCGTGCGGGTTAGGGAATCAGGCAACTCGCTGGACAGCCCGGCCCCGGTGCGGGCCCGGTCCTCGCGGCTAGTGCTGCGGCCGCGGCAGCGACAGCGGCGGCGGCGTGCGAACAGGGACTGGGCCGGGCGGAAGAAGTCAGCCCAAGGCATTTCCGGTTCCGGTGTCAGTTCGAGGCGCCGCCGCCGCAGTCGCCCGAGACGAGATGCCTAAAGGAGGTGAGGGGTGGGCGCGCGTGGTTCGCGCGGTTTGGACCGGGAGCGGCCGTGCGGCCGGCTGCTGCTGTCCCCTCAGCCCGCGGGCTCCTGGAGAGCCAGGCCGAGGGGCCAGGCGTGGGCCTCGACGTTCAGTTGTCCCAGCCGGGAAACTGAGGACCGCCGTGGTCGATTCGCCGCTCAGTCTGGGCTTTTCAGGGAGATTCACGTGCGCTGGGTTCTCGCCCTAGAGGAAAGCTGGACCCGGGCTGCGCTGTGTCAAGTGTGGGGAGGGTCTCAATTTTCCTCCCTCTTGGCCGGCCGGAGACTGAGTCACCGCGTCCCGCGCTTGTGCCGGGCCTGTCTGCCTCGCCCGTAGTTTGTGGGTTCTGTCGGGCTCCAGCTTGGCCACGCCTGCCTCATAATAAAACCTTAACATGATGCTCTTGGAGCTTGGCTGACCTGGCGTCGACTCTCCCTGTACGGTAGCCATTAAGGATGTGTCTTTGAGCCAGTCGCAAAACCTCTTTGTGTCTGTCGTTGGCAAATGGGGGGAGGGTGTTGATATCTACCTCATAGTTCTGATGCGACACTTAAGGTAGGTGATCCCGTGGAGCGCCCAGTCCAGCATTAACTATGACTGCTCTCCTAGGGTTTTATCAGCTCCAGACAAGATGGCCCATCTCTTCCCATCTTCCATTCTCTGTCCTTTAGATTCAGTAGGCCCCGTGTTTAATACCAGGTACATCACTGCCTTATTTATAGCCTCAAACAGTTTAACCTCCTCTAGCTTGTTTTCTTTATCTGCAGTACTTTTTTTTTTTTTTTTTGTCTTTTTGAGACAGGGTCTCCCTGTAGCCCTAGCTGGACTGGAACTCACAATGTAGACCAGGCTGGCCTTGAACTCACAGAGATCCGCCTGCCCCTGCCTCCCGAGTGCTGGGATTAAAGGCGTGCGCCACTACGCAGGGCAATCTGCAATACTTTTTAAAATTTGTATGTATGTTTGTGTGTATGTGTAGTCCTCAGACTGGAAGAGGGTGTCCTCAGACTGGAAGACTGGAACCAGATCCTCTGGTTGCTGGAGTTACAAATGGTTGTGAGCCACCATGTAGGTGCTGGGAACCAAACCCAGGTCTTCTGCAAGAGCAGGAAGCTCTCCTTAACCTCAGAGCCATCTCTCCAGCCCCTGCAATACTTCATCTGAAATACTGGGGTAATTACTAAGCGTTAGCTTATTGAGTTAGAAATAGGTGTTGGAAAATAGTAGAATACATAAAGTGCCTGGCTTACTCCTGGCACCTAACAGATGTTCAGTTAATAGCCACATGTTCTAGCAGTTAATGCCGTCACCCTACAGGAACATCTGCCTGGAGCTTTTTCAAACCTAAGTAAGTTGCTTCCTGTCTATCCTGATACTAGGCTTTACAAAGCAGAATCTGTTTAAACCTAGTTCTCTGCAAGAGCCCTCCCTGTCTTATGTTCCTCAGCCCCTTCATCTGTAACAGGCAAGGGTACCTTTCCAGGTCCAGAATTTGGAACCCAAAGTTGGGAGTTAGAGTTAGTCAATCTTAAGTATGAATTTATTCCTCACTGACTTTAAAGGTCCTGCAGGCAGACGAATGTTTCCTCCCTAAGGTTCATTTGTTCAAATAGCATAAGAAAGCACAAAAGTGATTAAACTATTTAAAAAGTTCCCCAGGAGCAAAAGACCAACTGTTTTCATTATGCTGTGAGTCGTTTTTAAAACCTTGAGAAGCCTCTGTAAAACAGACTAAGGTCAGTATCTGTGGACAAGTATAGGAATGAAGGTTTATGGTGACCAGTTTTCAGTTGTTACCATTGCCTGGAATGTTAAGAGGGTAAGAAAGGGTGAGGGTTTTTTTTTTTAATTTGTTTATTTTAGTTTTTTTGAGACTGGGTCTCCCTGTAGCCCCAGCTGGCCTGGAGCTCTATAGAGACCAAGCTGGCCTCAATCTCTCAGACCTGCCTGTCTCTGCCTCCTGAGTGCTGGGATCAAAGGTGTGCACCACCACATCTGGCTGGTGTTTTTTGTTTTGTTTTGTTTTTTCTTTTATGGTAAGCTTGCTATCTCACAATAAGCCTTTGATGAGCGTAGACATCGATACCCTTGGGAGCCCACATAGTCATTAAAAATGGGTGGTGTGGGCTATAGCAGCCCAATTACATCCAGCTCCACAGCTGCTGTCTAGGAAATGAGAGGAGGCCAGCATCTCTGCCCCTGTCTCTGGAGGCCAGAGAAGCGCTGGCTGTCTAATTACAGATTTCCTGCTCAGAGCAAGGGGCCTATGGAAATCAGGTGGGCCTCAGCTTCCAGGGGAGGGCCTGTTTGGAAAAGGAGGCCACAGTCACACCTGCAGAAGGCATGCAGGTATAAAACTGGCAGGTGACTTTAGCAAGGGTCAGTCTAGTGTTGTGACTGGAGGGTCAGTAGCAAGGGTCAGTCTAGTGTTGTGACTGGAGGGTCAGGATTGAAGCTGGTGTTCTTAGATGACCTCGAAGTGCTGGTCCTGTTTTCAGTGTTAGATTGTGGTCAGGTATTTAGTCAGCTTTAATTTTGCTGGTTGAATTCTAAACACAGAATTTCTGCTGGAAACTTTTTTGAGCTTTTGTCTCGTAGGTATTCTCTTTCTACTGTATCACTGTGATGAACATGAAGGATTCTGTTCTGCTGACATTTGCAGTAATTTGCTTATGCAGCCCATAGTGGCTTATGTTGTTTTCCCTCCCAATGGTGTATAAAAGAGAAAAGATCAGCAGACATTTTTGTGTTGGCTTCTGTAATGCCATGCACAGTTCCAACTGCTTTGCAAATGTTAACTAATTTATGTTTATGGCCTTGTAGGGACACAAATGTGGAAAACAAGGTGCTGGAAAATGATGTATCTGCTCAGAGTCACAAACCTAGGAAGTAGTAGAGCTGATTTTGGAACCCAGGACTTAGGTTCCAAACTCTTTCCTCTCCTCTACTTTGCTCTGATCCTAAGACTCCTTGTCTATGGAACAAAACCAGCAATGACTCTCGAACTGTAGATTTGCTCTAAGGATCAAATAAGCCATTGCAGTGAAAGATTTTGTGTGACAGCAGGGTGTAAACATTCCATGCTTTGCTGTTTACGCCTGTGACCACTGTGTTTGGATTTTAAGAGACCAGGGGATTTAGATGCCATCTCCCCTCTCCTCACCTTGGGTCTTGTGTTTGGGGACCCGTATCTGGCAGTGCGGTGCATCAGGTGTCATAAGCTGCTGCTTTTGTCCCATGGGGACAGTGTAGGCTTTGGGTATGGGTTGGTGAGGTCTCCTGTGCCCCAAACAGATCCTAGCCTTCTGGGGTGTCAGGGTAGTCCAAACAGCTGCTTCTCTCTCACCTTCCTCAACTACTAATCTTTCTGCAGGAAGAAAGGGAGGCCACAAAGGCCGGGCGAGGCAGTATACGAGCCCTGAGGAGATCGATGCCCAGCTGCAGGCTGAAAAGCAGAAGGCCAGTGTGAGTATATGTCTGTTCAGCCATGCCAGTGGCCCAGCAGGGTGCCTTGTGTCTTTGGCTCCTGGGGAAGATAGGAAAGAACTACTGTTCTCCAGGAAAAGCCAGACATGGGGTAGGAAGGGAGGCAGGTGGCAGGTATAAGCCCTGGACCAACCAGTCACAGTCAGGGCTAGGTAACTGGATCCACTAAAAGGAACTTTGCAGTGGCTGCCTTGGTGGTCTGCACTCTTAGCCCCAGGTACCTGCCTTCCAGAGGCTTTCCCTCACTAGCCTCTGTGCATCTACAGCTTGAGTTCCCTGCAACCCTCCCACTTGGCTCCTGTAACCACATAGGACTGCCTGCCAGGCAGCACAACATACTACTTGTCTTGCCATACCCAAAGCAATCCTGATCATTGCTTCTGGCTTTGTTCAGCATCAGCTGTTCTGTGACTGCAGTCCAAGCTAACCTAGTAGTTCCCTCTCCTTTGGTCCTGGGGTACCCTGTCCAGTCCACTATTGATTTTCATCCCCTATCACACCAAACATCCACACCTGGATTAAGGGTCTAAGGTAGTATAGACAGGCCCCCAAGAGCCCTGAGAGGAGAAGAGCCATCTCTAGCTGGGATAGCCTTGTGGGGTTGCTGATAGCTGAGTGGGACCTTGGACAACTCATGGGCAGGTGCTAAGAGGGGCAGGACATAAGGTTTTTAATTAAGATTTTCTACTTATTTGGGGGGACTGGGTCTCACTGTATAGCCCTGACTGGCTTTGAACTCTTGTCCATCCTCCTGCCTCAGCCTCTTGTGTGCTGGGATTGCAGGTATGAGCCATCATGCCAGCTCATCAGAGTAGGTTTGTTTTGTTTTTCCAATTTAATTTTATGCCTGCTAGTAAGTGCGTCTGTGTCATGCAATGCCCGCAGAGGCCAGAAGAGGGCATCGAATCCCCTAGAACTGGAATGGTAGACAATGGTTGGTTAGCTTCCATGTAGGTGCTAGGAACTGGACTTGGGTCTTCTGCAGGAAGCTCCAGAGCCTTAACTGCTGAGTCATCTTTCCAGACTATCAAGGTGGTTTCTGATGGGAAGGCAACAAAAGTAGGGGCAGATGACCTGTCAGGGTATGGCCTTGGGAAGCTGGTGCAACAGGGCAGTGTGTGGGCAAGACCAGCTGTGGAAGTGTAAGGCAGGGAGACCTTCATAGGAAAGCTACTATGGCTTGGCAGCTGAATGTGGCAAAAGCCAACTGAGCTGAGCCATGGCCACCTGGGTATTTCTGATCTGGGAGATGAGCTGCTCCCCAGGTTGACCACAGTGGCTGTGAAGGAGAGCAGGGTCTTTTGTGACTGTATGAGGAGCTGTTGAACTAGGGGATTGGTCTCTGGGCCATGATACTGAGTAGCCAGGCTGCCTTTCTCTGACCCAGGTTTCCCTTACCCTGATGGTCGGTCAGAGCCACAGAGTTAGGGCCTTTCATATATGGCCCTAGCCTTCCGGGGCTTCATGTAAAGGTCCATAGTCAGGGTGGTAGTGGGTGTCACATTCTTGGGGGTTTGTTTTTCATTTTTGATTCTGCAGGTTGTCCATTTCTGAAACAGGAAGAAGAGGAGCAAGAAGAAGGTGGAGATGGGGCTTCGGGTGACCCCAAAAAGGAGAAGAAATCTCTAGACTCAGATGAGAGTGAGGATGAAGATGATGATTACCAGGTATTGAGTCTCCTGGGATTGCAGTCTAGACTCACTCAGTGTGCATGCAGTTTCAAGATTTGTTTGCAGTTTTTTGAGGCAGGGTCTCAGGTATCCCTGGCTGGCCATGAACTCCTGATCTTTCTGCTCTCACCTCCCAGGCCCTGGCATACACCACCATTCCTGGCTTGTTTTGTTTGATTATTATTGGAGGACACTTGTGTCATGGTGTACACATGGACATCCTTGTGGAGTCGGTTCTATCCTTCCACTTTTACGTGGGTTCCAGAGATCGAACTCAAGTTGTCAGGCTTGTGTGGCACTCCATCCACAGAGTCCTCACACTAGCACTGCTTTAATTTTGTTGTTTTGAATTAGTTTGGGGTTTTCTGAGACAGAGTCTCATACAGCCTAAGGTGGCCTCAAACTTGGTGTATAGCTCAGGCTAGCCTAGAACTGATCCTCCTGCCTCTACCTTCCATGTACTGAAATGACAAGCTTGTGCCAACACACATGTCTACAGTTTTGGGGTACCTGTACCTGTTTATTCCCAGTCCTAATGCAAAGTCCTTGCTATTTAAGGGCTTATGTTTTCACATAACAAACAGATAATAAGTAAATGAACAGTGCAGCTTCAAACAGTGAAAAGTACTAGGAATAGGGGCTGGAGAGATGGCTCAGAGGTTATTAAGAGCACTGGATACTCTTGTAGAGGACCTGGGTTTGGTTCCCAGCACCCACATGGCAGCAAACAACCATCCTAATTCCAGTTCCAGGGTGTCCAGTGCCCTTTTCTGACCTCCGTGGGCATTGTACAACACGAGTGCACTTACATACATGCATAAAATAATAAAAAGTAAAAGTACTAGAATAAATCAGACCATGGTGAAGGCTCCGTGGAATAATGTGTTAAGGAGGTTGCTTGACAACAACAAACCAAAGCACTGCTAGTGTGAGGGCTCTGTGGGGTGAAAACCAGGATAGAGCCAACGTGTAGAAGCTGGTGTGCAGAGCACTTGGTGTAACTAGACCAGCAAGTGCAAAGGCCCTGAGGTGAGAGCAAGCTCAGGAAGTTCACTGAACAGAAAGGGGCCCTGGCAAGTGGTTCGGGATTAAGGAAGATGGGCGCGGACACCACCGGTATAGTTGTGGAAGGGGATTGGCTGCTTCCCAGCAGAAAGTGGGCAGCTGTGGAAGCGTTGGAAGTGGGAGAGATGACCAGATTTGCTTTTCATTTATTTTTTAAATTTATTTTGTGTATCTGTGTGGATGCATGCATGCTATGGGGGGTGTGTGGAGTTCAGAAGACAAGTTGCAGGACTTAGTTTTCTCCTAACACCTTTACCCACTGAGTCATCTCTCTGGCCTGGATTTGCTTTTGAAAAGATCATTGATTTTGGCTTCCCCAGGGAACAGGTGGAAGAAAGGAGAAGGTGCCCCAAGCCCAGAGAAGAAGCCATGCCATGGCTTGCTGTGGGCTGCTCGGCAGTAGCAGTGGAGAAGAGTGGCAGATTCCACCAGTGTCTAGGGCTTGCTAAGGGGGAAGGTGGTGACATCACGTGTGCGGAGGGTGGAGCTCAAGACATGTTTGCATTTGGTGGAAAGAGGTAGCCAGGTTGGGTACAGGTACCTGTAGAGTTGTCAGATCACTTGGTATCTGGAAGCTTTTACCCTAGTCACTTAAAAAAAAAAATTCCTTTAAATATTTTATTAGTTTTGTTTTATGTGTATGAGTGTATGGCCTGGATATATGTAAGTATACCCGTGTTATGCAATGCCCAAGGAGGTCAGAAGGCGTTGGGTTCTCCTGGAACTGGTAACAGATTGTTGTTAGCCATCATGTGGGTGCTAGGAATCAAACCCTGGTCCTCTGCAAGAGCAGCCAGTGCTTTCAACCACCAAGCCATCTCTCCAGCCCTAAAAAACTTAAAAATTTTTATGTGCATGAATGTATTACTTGCATGTATGTAAATGCACCCATGTTGTACAATGCCCATGGAGGTCAGAAAAGGACGTCAGATCTCCTGGAACTAGAGTTACAGACTGTTGTTAGCTGCCGTGTGGGTGCTGGGAACAACCCAGGTCTTCTGTAAGAACAGCCATCTCTCCAGCCTGGACACATTCATTTTCCTTTCCCTTCCTAGGCTGATACTCCAAAGTGCTGTCCCCACTGAGACATGAGCCAAGTGTCATGTGGGCTGGAGGTGGAACAGGAGTTTGTCCCCATTCAGACATGCTCTTGGGAGATGGGGTGGCCCTCTGGGGCTCTGCAAGACCTAAACTTGTCTAAGAGTCAGCTTCTTGTCTTGTCCTAGCAAAAGCGAAAAGGTGTGGAAGGGCTTATTGACATTGAGAACCCCAACCGGGTGGCGCAGACAACCAAAAAAGTCACACAACTGGACCTGGACGGGCCAAAGGAACTTTCAAGGAGAGAACGGTAATGTTTACTGTACGGGGTAGGCTTCACAGCCTAAGCACACAGACTTGGGGTGGACCTGTGGGTTGCTTAGGTGCCAGGTAGTTAGGCGGGATGCCCCAGGCATGTGTTATTTCTGCCTCATGTACTTCCCCAGAGGCTCGGTAGTAACTCCCCACACCATAAAGTTCACCAATAGACACCAGGGAAGATAATGTAACAGATTCAAGCTGAGGGGATACAAGGGTTCCCTTTATTTTCTTCCTCCAGAGCACTGTACCCCACTTTGGGAGGACTCCCCTACCCCATCCACTCCTGAACAGCATTTGTCCATGGGGTCAGGATCCTGGGGGTTTGTGCTGGCCAGGAATCCAGTGGGAGCCCTGTGGAACTGGAGTTGCGAATGCCAACCTCATGAGTCACACAAGGCTGAGACCAAGCACAGAGGTGCCTGGCATATGGTCACTTCTCATTGTGGTGCTAAGGCTGCAACCCAGGGACTTATGCATGCTAAGCAGGCACTCTGTCCCCAGCCACACCCATGGCACCAATGACTTCATGGCCACCTGATGAGCTCAAGGGCCTTTCTCCCAGCAGCCCTGGCTTCTGATGATGCCAGTAGGATTTCAGTTCGCATCCTGCTTGGATCCCAGGATGGTTGAGGACCGTGTTTAAAAAACTCCACAGGGAAGAAGTTTGGGGCGTCACTGAGGCTGTGGGGTCTCTCCCTGCCTCTGTGCCCCTTCGTTACCTTCCTTCATTAGCTGGGCTGGACTGCCCTTCCCAGAGCAGAAGGACTCTAGTGCTCACCAAGGTTCTGCTACTTCACTGAACTGCCATGCCATGGATCAGTCACTGTCCTGTATGGGCCTCAAGTACTCAGGGGGTATCCCTGCCCAACAGACATGATAATCATGAAGGCCAGCACTTGCTCTTCACTGAGGGGCCCTACAGAGCCTTGGAGCAGCCTTGGTCTTACCTGAAGGCTGAGTCTGGCACCTTCCTGACAGGGTGGGTCCGCTGGCTATTTTCTCTGCACTTTTCTTAGCAAGTGTCTTGTCCAGTCTCCTGAGTACAGTGCTGTCCATCATCAGCTCTAGCCAGGCTTCCATGCCTTCCTTTTACTGCCTAGTCTTGTGGACTGGGAGGGCCTCTGGGAAGCCACATCCCCCTGCTGCTCCTGCCAGGTATCACTCTTCCCCTCTACCATTTGCTCCTACAGGGAGGGCATCTTGGCAAATGTAGCCCTGTGACTTCACCTCCTGGAGGACACCCCTCCTGGTCTGAGTCACAAGAGATTGCAGTAGCCCTATCCACTCCATTTGAGAGGTGACTACTGACCACACCTTTGTCCCGAGGAATCCTGCTTTTATCTCACACCTCTTGTGAGGGGGCTCACTTCTTGGGAGGTACACTTGAGCTTCTGTAAGAATTCTATATCCTGGTGCCTTCAGATCAGGCTGATCATCTGTGATTCTGGCACTGGAAACCACCCATATCTGTGTTTCTTCTAGAGTGAGGTTCCCAGTGCCTTCATCCTCTTGGTCATTTTCTCTGGAACACAGTGTCCTTGATTTGAGTTCCACTTTCTCACTGTGGCCACCAGGCTGTCCATGAATTCTTCGGGCACTTCTTGTTTCCACAGCAAGGCGTTGTCCCCTCTTGTGCCAAGTACAGGGTCCTCTTCCCTGGACTAGCTCAGCTCACAGTGGTGGGAAGAGTTGCCCATGACACCATTTTATCCAAACAGAGAAGAAATCGAGAAGCAGAAAGCAAAAGAGCGCTACATGAAAATGCATTTAGCTGGGAAGACAGAGCAGGCCAAAGCTGACCTGGCCCGTCTGGCCATCATTCGAAAACAGCGGGAGGAGGCGGCAAGAAAGAAAGAAGAGGAGAGGAAAGGTAGGTCCTGGGCTGCTTCTGGGCAGGCTCCTGAGCCCTGGCCCTGAAGAGGGAGGGGAGGAGGAGATGTAACCAGCTCAGCCAGTAAAGGCCACGCAGTCTGTGGGGAGGGATGTGGAGTCAGATGAGGGTTAGAGTCAGCAGGGCACTGTCCAGTGTAGCCTTCACCAGCAGGAGGCCTTAGCACCTGCCTCCACCTTTGAGGCCAGGACGTCCCACTGGTGTTTCTGGTGGCTAAAAAGCCAACGAGAGCCATCTGGTGTCTCTACCATCCTCCAGGGGCTTGAGGTGGGTCTATATGTAAAAGGGAGATAGACCCCAGTGGTGTCACAGCGACATGTTCTTCCTACCACCCCCTCCCCCTGGGCAGCCAAAGGATAGGCCACGGTGGTATTGGGGCAGGGGTCTAGTGTGTAGGAGCATTGAACTTGGGACCTTCCATCCCCTGGAGGCCATGAAAGCCCTTAGCCCACTCTCCTGTTTACTAAATGAGGAAATAGGCCTAGAACGGAGAAATAAATGGGGCATCCATTGTCACCCTTTCTCCCAAACCCCAAACAGGAAAGGGCTTGACACAGTTAGATGAGTATTGTTACTAACTTGAGACACTAGATTTCAAAACCCCTGGAGAGGTTAGACTTTTGGGTTTCTGTCATGGTGGGGCACATGTTGCCGAGTCGTGGATTGGCAGCATTTGGCCAGGTGGTGACAGCTACTCAAGCACCCCAGAAACATTTGGACACTGGACTGTCAGCAGAAATCCAACCCCCGGCCCCGTGGCAGTCTGGGCCCCTCTCCTTGGCTCCCTTCCTATCTGCCAGCTGAGCTAGTTTGTACAGAATCTTTTCTGAGACTCTGATTCAGATGGGTGTAGGAGGTGTTTTTTGCTGTGTTCTAACACCCGTCCTTCTCTTCCAATCTCTCAGCAAAAGATGACGCGACTTTGTCAGGAAAACGAATGCAGTCGCTCTCCTTGAATAAATAAGCCAGCCTGTGGGAGGAGATGCTGGGGAACTGGACCATGCCACCAGGACCTCCGCCGTGTCTCGCCCACCGTGTGCCCTGGCGCCGCTGCAGCAGCCCCTCAAGGCCATGAGCCCCGTGGCCTGGGGCCTCCTCTTCATCTTGGCATAGAAATTGTTTGGGGAAATACGGGGGGTCTGGGGGGAGGGGCAGCTGCTATCTTTGAGACAGAAAGATGCAGGACAGCATTTCATACGTAACCATTTGAATGTTTTTGCTGTTTTTAGAATTCGGAACCCTGATTGGGGGGTGCCTGGGAATCAGGGTGAGGCACTTCCATTCGTCTGGTAGATTGCACGTTAGTGGGGATCATGCCAGTGGGCAGCTGCTATGGGAGTTGGCGACTGCCAGCCCAGCCTGTTTGCTTGGGTGCTGACTCAGAGGGGCTGCCCACAGCTTGTCCCTGGCCAGTTCCGTCTGACTGAGGCCTCTCCTCTGACCTACTCCGCCCCCTTCTCACCCATCTGGCCAGGGCTAGTGCCCATTTTTAACCCTGCCCATTGATCATTTCAAGAAACTTCTGGTTACTGTGCAGCACCCAGACAAGACACGCTCCACAACTTCAACTTGTATATTTGGCAGATTAAACAACATTATCATAATCCTTGTTCAGTGATCCATCTTTTAGTTCCCATACCGTACCCTCTGCTCAGGGCAAGGTTCGGGGCACACACCTAGCTGGGGCATACTCCACATCAGGTGGCATAGTGCAAGGTACAGGGCCTGGACATGAGAAACCTTGGATGTGGTGTCCAGGGGTGGGTCCTCTCCCCACAGCAGGCTGGAGCAGCACTAAGCATTCCCTGCTGGCCTCCAGTGGGTCACATCTTCACCCTCTCTTGGAGGAAGCCTCCCAAAGGCTGATGACCAGCAGTCACTGCCTGAGCTACCTAGCCTTGTGTTTGGTGGTGCTTGCCAGAGGGGAAACTGAGGCCTGGTACCAGCAAGTGGGCTGCTTGTGGATTCAGGCCTGGTTGGAGGTTCCTGTTGTGCCCCTGTCTGAGCTGGGTGTGTTACCTTTGGTGGCATCATGCCTTGTGCATAGTCCCAGGAGGCTGGGGTCTGGATGTGGCCAGGTGCCAAATGGGGTGGAGGTAGGAATTGCCAGAGGAGCAAGCAAAATGATTTAGTGCAGAATGGCATTGAGCCTGTTTCCTGGTGAGCTCTGCCACAGGCCCCGGGGCCTATGACCCTATTGGAGATTGACAACCTCAGGAGGGATCCTTCAGCACCCAGGTTCAAGTTCAAGCCTAGCTGCAACTTGAGGTCTTTTTCAAGATGGCAGAAGGGGTGGCTGTTCAGCAGTATCATGTTGCTAGTCCTAGGAGAGTGGCTAAAAGGTAAGTTTCTTGTAGTACATGGTCAGCTGGGTCTGGGGATGTCTGAATAGCTGATGTGGAGAGCCTGAGCACAAGGCTTGTTTATGGATGGGGTTCTTTATAGGCTGGAAGTAGTTCTCTGACTTGGCCATAGGACCCCTTTAGGACGTAATGCTGGGGTGGGCTCAGAGTCATACCCGAGTTTGAATCCTACCTATAGGAATACTAGGAAATATAGTGTATGGTTCTCACTTTTTTCTTTTTTGGGGATCAAGCTCAGGACAAGTGCTCTACTGAGCTACAACCCTAGTTGTGTAGTTTCCTTTTTGTTTGGGAGAGGGTATTTAAGACAGGGTCTCATGCAGCCAAGGCTAGCCTTAAATTCACCATGTAGCTGAGGGTGATCTTAACTTCTGATCCTCTTGTCTCAGTCTCTGAGTAGTGGAGTTTCAGGCATGCCTTGCTCAGCTGGCGTATACTTCTGGGATTAAACCGAAGGCCTTGTACACACTAGGAAGCACTCTACCAGTTGAGCTACGTAGTAAAGTGGGAACTGGAGAGATGGCTCAGCAGTTAAGAGTACTGACTGCTTTTGTAAAGGGGACCAGGATTAGCTCCCAGCACCCACATGGTAGCTAACAACTGTCCTAACTCCAGTTCCAGGGAATCTTGACACCCTCTTTTGATCTCCACAGGCATTGCACGTCACAGGTGCACTTACATGTAGGCAATACGTTCAACACACAAAATATAAAATGATGTATTAAAGTATTTTTATCCTGTGTATATAAATGTTTTGTCTGTGGAGGCCAGAAGAGGGTGTTAGATCCTCTGGAACTGGAGTTACAGAGGGTTGTTAGCTGCTGTGTGGGTGCTTGATACCAGACCCAGGTCCTCTGTAAAAGCAGTGCTCTTAACTGTTGAACAATCTCAGCACTCCCCAGACCTTTTTTTTTCCTGGCACATGATTTAATCTATGTAGCCCAGGCTAATCTCCAACCCTGGGTTCTCCTGCCTCAGCTGCCTGAGTGCTGCAATTAGAGGCATATGCCACAAGAAACCTGTAGTTTTTTGGTCTTTGGTGGGGAGGGATGGTTTTGTAGACATGGTCTTGCTAAGTAGCCAGGGTGGTCTCAAATGTGTAGTGATCCTCAGCCTTTGCCTCCCAAGTGTTGGGATTACAGGCATGTGCTCCTATGCCCAGCAAACTTGTCATTTAAGTTAGCACATCCAAACCTCTGAGACAGGCTGTTGTGTCTAGTGAGGGAGGCCAATAGGCCACACAATTCCTGCTTGAGGTCCCCTGCACCAGAGAGTGTGCTTGTCAGCAGATCCTGATGTAGGAGAAAAGCATGCTGCTCAGGAGAGGGGTGCAAATGGGTGTTGCTTGGTCTGTACCTGAGGGAAACCACAAAAGGTGTAATAAGGCCTTCTTGCCCTTCAGTGACAGTCACAGGCACTCTGGGCTGTGCCTCCGTTTGTGGTGGGCTGACAGAGGCTGTGGGCATCTCGAAGCTGTCTCAGTAATTTCTGTCTCGTAAGGACAGGTCAGTTAGGAAATCCTTACTAATTTGTTAGCCTAGAGATACCTGTGTAAAAAAGGTACAAAAGGCACGTGATGAGACTCAGACTGAACTAGAAATGGAGGGAGGCTTACAAAAGGGATGAGCATTTATTTAAAAAAAAGCTGGCCGGGCATGGTGGTGCATGCCTTTAAACCCAGCACTCAGGAGGCAGACGCAGGCGAATCTCTGTGAGTTCAAGGCCAGCCTGGTCTACATAGTAAGTTCCAGGACAGCTGGGGCTACTGGGAGACCCTGTCTCAAAAAAAAAAAAAAAAAAAAAAAAACAAAAAAACCAACAACAACAAAAAAAACCTGCTGCCTGCCTCATGATAGAGAAATAAGGCGTTTCCTCCAACGTCTAGAACCAGCTAGGAATGTGTAACCCACACATGTAGGAACCACACTAAATAAGTGAAATGCGCACTTAGGAGGCAGAGGCAGGCACATCTCTTGAGTTCGAGGCCAGCCACGGCTAGAGAGACACTGTCTTAAAAGTGACATGAAAGGTGCCTGGTCTGACAGTGACAGCCCAGTGCTGGACTGCAGGAAATAAGATCCCCTATACTTGAGGATCCATTTGATTTCTAGCACTCTGTCCACACAAGACACACAGGCCTGTCCACAGTGGGTATTTTTATTACCTCCATGTTCTGAAGCAGTTCATGACCAGCATTGTGCTTTGGGGGCTTTTTTTTTTTTTTTCAAAATAAAAGTGAAAGCATTTCTTTAAGGAAAAAAGGCACATGTTCACTGAATAGGTAGGAAAGCTCTACACCTGCCCCTTCCCCTTCTTGGGGGGCAGCCCCTATGGGGACCCATCCTGGCACCCTAGAAGATTTCAGAAAAGTGACCCTTAGCCTCCCTCTGTTCTTGTCCCCCCTTCCCCAGCAGCTGGGATGAGGGCAGCACTCCTCAGAGCTTATTTGATCTTCAGGTCCTTCAGGGCTGACTCCAGGCTCTGTAGAGGGAGAAGAGGCAAACCGGTTCCTACTGTCTCATAGGGACCCAAGCCCTACCCATCTCAGCCCCAGCACTGGAGAGGGCAGAGCTGGGTTTAAAACCCAGCTGGAAGGCATGTAAGCCCAGAGGTGCTTCCCACCCCCATTCCCAGAGAGTGTAGAAAGGTAATGCTGGGGGCAGGATGCAAGAAGACCTACCTTCACATCCCAGATGCTCATGCCACCATCCATGCCAGTGGTGCAGAACTGCGAGCACTTGGCCTTGCCCCCACTCAGCACTGAGATTTGGCTATAGAGAGGTTCCCGGGTTTAGAGTCTAAGCATGCTGGCTAGGAGCTTCTAAACCCACTCCCAGGAGAAGTGCTAAGACAGGGTGGGATCAACTTGGGGAGGAACAGTGGCATGTCAGTGCTGGGCACAGTCCTGCCCAGCAGAACAAGATACTCAAGGCCCCGGGCAGGAAGGATAGGCTGTGCCTGCAGAATGCACAAAGTGGCCTAAGAGTACGAGAGAACGAAGTTAGAAATGAGTCTGGCTTCCATAGTTGTGCTTGGTCTAAAGAAGACCCGGGCTCTGGTGGCCTCTCAGTCTTAGCCAGCCAAAGGCCATCAGAGTCTCCACTTGTTTTTCCTCACGTGTGCTGGTTGCCTTGTGGTTTTGGAGGGTCTCCTCCCCACAACCTCGGGAGGCTGCAGCAAGACCCTCAGCCCCTCCCATACCTTGCAAGAGACCTATTGCCAAGAAATCACTGTCCAGCCAGCCACCCTAGTGGCCCCCTGGTCCCTACAATGCAGTCAACAACGCAGAGGCTGGCTGCTAAGCCCCACCTGATGATTCATTTCTTCCTGCAACCTGTGACCCTGGGGTCGTCCCAAGCTCGGCTCTCTAAGGCGCAGTTCTCTTGAGGGCCCGCCCACCTCCTCTTGCTCTGGCCCACCCTGCCCCAGCCCTCAACTGACCAGGTTCCACGGTAGAAAAAGACACGCCTACTCTCCCTAGGCCCCGCCCACCCACTAGGCCGCGCCGCACCTGACACTGTTCTTGTGCAGGGAGTCCAGGCCCACGCCCGATGTTGGGCCGCCCTCGGAGCTGGCCTTCTTGTCGAGGTTCTGGAAACGCTCTCGGGCAGTCAGGCCACGCTGAGAGCTCTGCTTGGGCACGTCCAGCCGTCCACCAAAGCTCAGCGTCCCTGCAGCGCTGTCATAGGTAAACAGCACCGGGAAGCAGTCGTGGCCCTGCAGTGGGGCAGGGAAACCAATGAAACGTCACTGGAGGTAGGGACTCCAAACGGGAAATTTGAGAGATGAGACGTGGCGCCAAGGGGCATCAGCAGCTCCTGAGGCTGGTGAGGGGCCTGGGTGGCAATACTGCTGCCAAGAGCCCAGGACCCGACAGGACCCAGAGAGAGAGACTGTGTCAAGGAGGGACAGATGTGGGGACTGTCCACTCTAAGCAAGGCATCTGGCCGAGGCTTGTTTGGGACCCCCAATAATGCCCACCCAGTTGGTTATGCTTTTCTGGGGAGAAGACACCCCTCAATCTGGATGATCTTGCAGGCAGAAAGCAAGCTTGCTCTGCTGCTGACACCCCCTTATTGTCTACACAGGTGTGAATGGGACCTTAGCAGTGGACAGAAGAGACAGTACACTGGGCTTTCTGAACACCTGGTGGTGGCTCTGAACCCTCCCCAATCCCATCAGGGTCCTTGCCCTAAAACATTTATTTAGATTTATTTATTCAGGGTTGTGTGTTGTGTTGAGTATGGATGTCAGAAGACAACCTGAGAGAGCTCGTTCTGTCCCAGCACGTAGGTCCAGTGGATCAAATTGAGGTCATCGGGCCTGGCAGCAAGTGCTTTTGCCTGCTAAGCCACCTCACTGACCCCAAGCATGCCCTTTTATAGGTAGGCACTTTTATTGGCTATTTACCCTACTGCCCTTTTATTGGCTATTTACCCTAGCCAATAAAATGTAAGCAGAGATGTTAGTGTACAGGGCATGATTCTACATGGACTCTTCTATACTCAGGACAACAGGGGAAGTTGCTTGGAGACAAAGCCAACATTTAAGCTCCCTATCCCTATCACAACACCCATACTGGATAGGGTGTCAGCAAGAACACTTGTAATCCCAGATATATTCGGAGGCTGAGGCAGCGGGACTGTAAATGCTAAGTTGGCCTGGGCTACAGAGTGAGTTAAGGGCCACCCTGGGCAACTTAAGGGGAAAAAAGGGAAGGATAGTCTAGGCTGCATAAGGTAACCTTGGAAGGAAGGGAGGGAGGGAGGAAGGGGAGACACAGAAAAGTAGGGAAAGTAAGCCAGCCTGGTATGGTGGTACATGCCTTAATCCCAGCACTGGGGAAGCAGAGGCAAGTGGATCTCTGAGATTGAGACCAGCCTGGTCCATAGGGAGTTTCAAACCAGCTGGGGCTACAGGAAGACCCTATCTCCAAAAAAAAAAAAAAAACCAAAAACAAGCCAGGTGTGGTAATACACACCTTTAATCCCAGAGGCAAAGGCGGTGGATCTCTGTGAGTTCGAGGCCAGCCTGGTCTACATAGTGGGTTCCAGGCCAGCTGGAGCTACAGGGAGACCCTGTCTCAGAAAGACCCAAACAAAACACCCCTTGTGCTAAGCCAGTGCACATTTGGGGAACTTTATTCCAACAGCATAACTATTCTGCCTAATAGCTGGATAAATGGATGGATAGGAGGGAAGGCAGCAGAGTGGAAGGAAGGGATGAACGGGGCGTTGTCGGGCTTAGAGGCTTGCTCTCACTGGCCCCTACCCTTGCCTCCCCCAACCGACCACTTACCGCTGCCACTAAACTGTTTTCTGTGATGAAGGTGATGGCAAGGAGCGGCAGTGTTTCAGAGGCCAGAGTCACAACACTAAAGGAGAGACGTGTCAGCCACATCGCCACCTCCTGCCCGCTGCTCTGTGCCTGGCTGCCCCAACCCCACCCCTACCCCACATCCCTACTCACGCCATCTTCTTGTCGGCATCCGCCAGGCACACAGTGCTGTCATGGCTGACCCAGGCCACACGGCTCCCACTGTCTGAGAAGCAAACACCATGCACCCAGCCGCAGCTGCTGCTGGACTCAAACATGAGCTCCCCAAAGGGCATTTTGGAACCCCAAGGTGTGGGGGCTGGCCGCTCCTCCACCTCCTTGATGTAGGCTGAGAAGATCCTGTAAGGGGGAAGTGAAAAGGAGGAGGCCAGAGAGATGGCTCAGTGGTTAAGAGTATTGGTTGCTCTTGCAGAGGACTCAGAATCAATTCCTAGCCCTACTCACATGGTGGCTAACAAGCATCTATAACTCCAGTTCCAGGGGATCTAATGCTCTTTTCTGGCCTCCACAGACATGTTTTACAAATAGGCAAGCAAAACACTCATACACACACACACACACACACACACACACACACACAAATAATAAAAGAGCACTTGCTCTTGTAGAGGACCCAGATTCAGTTCCCAGCACCCACAGAGCGAACAACCATCTATAACTCCAGTTCCAGGGGATCTGATACCCTCTTCTGTTCTCCATGGGCACTGCGCACATATGCTACATGTAAACATATGTAGGCAAAACACTCATACACATGACATAAAATACAACAGCAAAAAAAGTGGGTGAGTACCAAAGACCAGCTTCCCACCCACCAACCTAAAGCCTCGTGGGATGCCAGCCCAAGATGTCCAAAGGAGCCTCTGATGCCTACTGTTTCCCAAGTGAGGATTCAAACACTGGAGGACAGGGATGCAGTCTGCTGGAAGCTGGGAAGAGATGAGATTCTCTAGCCAAGGGAGAGTCTGGTGCTCGGTCCAGAAGTGAAAAATAGCAGGGTGAGTTTTGCTACAGCTTATCAGTCATTCACACCTTAGTAGGAAAAGGTACACACCCATTTGTTCCCCTTCAGACAGAAATCAGGAAAACTATAGGGTGCAAGGTTCTAATGAGACAGGAAAGGAGGTTCAGAGGGACCCTGCTGACAATCAAGCTGTGGCAAGGGGCATGTCTCCCTAAGACTCCACCCTCAGGGCTGGCAGGCCACAAGGTGATGCTGAAAGTCTCAAGCCCAAGGTCACCTGCTGGTAGCAGACAAGGAGCTGGTCTGGAAGGAAGGACTTGGGGCTCCTGCTCCGCCCCCGAGTCCCTATGCTGGCTTGGGTTCTCCCTCCAGGGTGGCCGAAAGCTCACCTGCACTTGAAGTCACAGGAGCCCGCAGCCAGCAGCACGTTGTTGGGGTGCCAGTCGAGGCTGAGGACAGTGGAGCGGATGGGCTTCTTGATGTGCTTGCACACCCACCTGGACACCAGGATGAAAGACAGGCAAGTGGGCACCACAGGCCTCCATGTCCTGGGATGTCCACCAGTGTCTTGGGTGAGAAGAGCTGATGTACTGGGTCCCTTCTGAGGTCAGAACTCTACATCTTGTCACCATGAACCACACAAGTTCACATGGTTGCTAAAGGCCAGGGTGGGATTTGAACTCTTGGTTTCTCAGACTCAAACTGTTCCTGACCTGGGAGATAGAAGGGGGATGAAGGCATGACTGGGCCACGTGTGGTGATACATGCCAATAATAGGATCCTTAATTCAGGACTAGTCGGCTGAACAGCAAGACCCTGTCTCAAAATATCAACACTAGGGTTAGAGTTATGGGTGATGTGCTCGCCTAGCATTCATGAAGTACTGGGTTCTGTCCCCAGCACCACTTAAACCAGGAGTGGTGGTGCATGCCTGTAATCCTAGAACTCAGAAAGATAGAGGCAGGAGGATCAAAAGCTCAAGGTCATCCTTGACTACATGGGGAATTTGAAGTCAGTCTGGGCTATAGTGAGACCCTACCTTAAATCAAAAATTTAATAAAAGTGGCCAGGAGTTTGTGAGTGGCCCACTGGGCATCGTGGTCAAGTGGTGAGGCAGTGCACAGGGTTGTGGGAAAATCTGTGGCAGTATGCACACGGCATGAAGTGGTGTCACCAGAAGTGGGGAATGTGGTCTGTGTAGCTGTTATTAACGGGTCGGGGCTGTGGGATCTCAGATAGTTCATAAGACCCTTAGCCTCATCCATGAGGCTCAGAGGATACGTATCCCTACAATCATGGGAGCAAGAATCCTAACATTGCATCTGATGTGTTCCACGGACATAGTGGTCTTCCCATGCCCCATAGGTCCTGGGCCTCAGCCAGCAGCCCCCATGTGCTCCATCCTGGGTCCCTCCCAGCCTTCTCAAGTCCCAGGTAATCACCCACCAGTCATTCTCCTGCTCGAAATAACAGATGGAAATGACACGGGAGCCACTGCCCACGGCAAACTTGTTCTCATTGGGGGCCCAGCGCACACAACGGGCAGCACGGTTGATTCTCAGGATGACCAGTGTGGGCTTCCACGTATGGCCCTTCAGTGTCCACACATAGGCATTTCGGTCTGTGCCACAGGTCACGATGCGGTTACTCTCAGGGGCCCAGTCGATGCCTGTGGAGTCAGGTCCAGGGACAGAGGTTTGAAGCCATCCAAGCTAAAGTGGCCATGCCTACATGTCTAATGTGGGGCCAGGGACTGAACCAGGGGTCTTGCTAAACAGGTGCTTTACTACTGAGCCACACCTCTAGTCCTCACTGGGGGATTCTAGGCAGGTGCTCTAACACTGAGCTATGCCTTCAGGCCTTCACTGGGGGATTCTGGTCACACACCACAGCTGAGCCACACCCCCAGTCCCTCACTGGCATTCCCATTCCCTAATAAGCATTCTTTTATCCTGTTTCGATCCAGTGTTATTTGGAACGACTCTAGGGGTGACTACTGTGGTGTAATAGGCAACATGACAACTCCGCAAAGCTATCACCAAACATTCTTGGTAAAGCCAAGAGCAGGAAAGAATTCTAGTAATGCTGACTTCCTGGATTAAACCTCTCCTGATGCCCACAAACTTTTATTTTTCAGTAACATGAACTAATGTAATCTCTTTATAACCTAAGACACTTAGGTTTTTTTAATTACACTTGTTTTCCGGGGGGAGGGGCAGAGGGAGGTGCCACAGCTTGATTATGGAGGTCGGGGGACCGCTTTTGGTAGTTGGTTCTTGACTACTGTGTGGGCTCTGGGGACTGAACTCAGGTCATCAGGTTGGCAACCAGTGCCTTTATCCACTGAACCATCTCCTGGCTCCTAAGCCACTTTGAATCAGGGCTGTTTTTGTTGCAACCTAGACTATTTAATCTAATATAGCAGATAGGTAGATGGCTCCATCTCATCCTGCCCCTGGCCTCCTTACGACAGCGTGGTCCCGGCCAACCCGACCCACCTGTCACCTGCCCGTTGTGCTCCTTGAGCTCGTGAACCTTGGTCCACTTGGCGCCACTCTTTTCGTAGATGTGTACCTCATGGTTGTTGGGGCAGATGGCGATCTCTGTAAGGGAGACAGGCGAGGGCTTATGACCGAGGCAGGATGGACACCCACCCTTCCTACCACTGCTCTCTACCAGTAATGCAAGACCTAGGCTGTCCTCTGCCTGAAACATCATGGCTCTTGCTGGGCCTCCCCACACCTGTACCTATCACTCCTCACTCTTTTATTGAGACAGCGTTGCTCACATAGCCCGGCTGGCTTCAAACTTACTATGTAGCCACATGACCTTGAACTCTGGCTCCTCATGTCTCCACCTCTCTAGTGTTGAGATTACACCTGGTTTCTGTGGTGCTGGGGATGGGACCTAGAGGTCTGTGAATGCTGGGCAAGCACTCTAGCATCTGAGCCACAGTCACAGCCCCCTTCCTTCCCCCATCACCCTTCCCCTCAATGTCACTCTTTCCTCTTTTTTTTTCTTTCCACTTCCCTTGTTTAGAGTCTGACTGCATTAGCTCAGGCTGGCCTCAAATTCCTCAGGCTAGCCTCAAATCCTCCTGCCTCAGCATCCTACATTATAGGATTATAGGTGTTCACCACAAGGGCCTGCCCTCTGTGCTTTTCTTCATAGCTCCCTCTACCCTCTAGCATGGTGGGGTCCTGTTCTAGGACGCCCAGCCTGTCGTGTCACCTCTCACCATGCCAGGCTCCTGTTCCAGAAGCCCCAGCCTGTCATGTCACCTCCCAGCTCCCACCATGCCAGCACCTGTTTTTCTACCTACCCTACCTGGTCAGCTCTTTGTCCCTCCCCCTGGAGCACCTCCCTTAAAGCATGAGGACCTAGGGCACAGAGTCTGGCTGCACCCCACCCTTCAAAGCAGCCTCACTACCCTGCTGTCCCATGTGCCCCCAGCTTGTCCCTGGTTCCAAGAGGCCATCTCCCAGGAGTGGGCACTCACGTGTACGATCCTTGTTCCAGGAATGGCAGCTGATGGGCTCCACTAGGAAGCTGTGGTAAGCCATGAATGCTCAGCTCCTGGGAACAAAATCCAGGTCAGCCAGGCCCTGGCTGAGACTGGGCACCAACTGCCCTCACAGGCTCTCCACCAAACGTTGCCTGTTTCAGAGGGGCAGCCATGGCAAGGAAGGGCAGTCAGGGCCATCCTGGTCTCCTGACTGGCTCAGCATGTTGCATCCTCTCCACCAGCCTCAGTTTCCCTAAGCCCAAGAGGGCTGGTGTCACAGTGTGTCTTAGGCTCCAAAGAGTAAATGGTGGGCTGGGCTGGAGGCAAAGACACAACATGAGTTGGGGGCTGGGACCCTGAGCTCTGCAGACCTGTCTCTAGTTGCTTGTGCCTCACTTTCTTCCTGGTGTAGGACCCCTCTCCCATCCATAACAACATGAAGCTTAAATGAAATAGGGGCTGGAGAGCTGGCTCAGCAGCTAACAGCACTGCCACTCTCGCAGAGGACCCGGGTTCAGTTCCCAGCACCCACATGGAAACTAACAACTACTCTTGACTCCGGGGGATCCAATGCCCTCTTCTGATCTCTGCAGGCACTGCACATACAAATGTACTTA